ATGTTCTATGATAAAACTTGTTAACAGCAAGTTTGCTTGTTTCTATCAAAATAATAAAACAATGTTGTTTCAAGTACTATTTCTTTTATATGCTTCTGTTCGTTCACATAGTTTTACTTCTTTAATCAAAATATATTTCATTTTTTTTTAAACACCATCAAAACTGTTATTTGAACTAAACTTATATCATACATAGGGGTATCCAAAAGTAGTGACAACGACATTTTAGTACCACATATTAAGCTTGATAAAAGTTTCTTTTTACATAGGATGATAGAGAAAAAAATGCTCTTTCTTTCTATGCTATTTGATCATACTTCACCTAATGTTATAGTAATAAAGTTTCAATAAGACCTGTTTTTCTTACATATGTGACGGTTATACTGTGTGGTTTGAATAACTTTTTATAGAAACAAGGTAGAGAGCTGCGATTTTCATCGTTCAAAAGCGGAGGTGAAAATGCATCGGATTGCATATTATACGTTTTCTCAATCAATTTTCTAAGTATCGAAAAAGATGGTTTTTTATTTCTTCACAGAAATTGCTAGAAAAACCACGTAGAGGTTTGACTCGATTAGCCATAACTCCAGAATGATTAATCTAAAATACCTGATCCTTCTGCAGTTGTGTAGATCTTCCAGCAGCAGTTTGAATACACTGCTGACAATTGAGAATTTGCTGTAAACACCTTATAGAGTAGGTTTGTTCTTAGAGAGGTCGATTGAAAACTCTTAAAAGTCATGTCAGCAAACCTTTAATATACGATTCGATGCATCTTCGTTTCCTCTTTCGAATGATAAAAACCGCAGCTTTCTATCTTGTTTCTATGAAAAGTTATCCAAAAAACATCCACTGGATAGGCATTTGTATAACCGTCATATATGTTAGAAAAACAGGTCTTATTGAAAATTTATTACTATAACATTACGTAAAGTATGATCAAATAGCATAGAAAGAAAGGGCATTTTTTTTCTCTATCATCCTATGTAAAAAGAAACTTTTATCAAGCTTAATATGTGGTACTAAAATGTCGTTGTCACTACTTTTGGATACCCCTATGTATATATTAACTTTAGATCATCGTTAGAGGAAAAACGTTAGATTTGTCTGAAAATAACTCTATTCAGATTGTATACAGAAATATCACATATTCATCTTTGAGCACTGTGATAAGTATCAACGATTATAGCATGATATATCTTTTTGAAGATTTGTAAAAGCCTGAGTGCAGAAAGAAAAATGATTGAATGTTTTTTTTTGAACCCATTCCAATTAATCGTAATCCAACAAATCAGTCGAACTGAACCAGTTCAAAAATTTTCGCACGATTATACCTGTGACATACATTATGATGTATGATGGATTTGAGTTTTTTCTATTTACTGGATATCCAAACAAATATATGTGTAAAATTAAAAAACAACTGCTTTTGATATATCTTAAAACTTTCTTGAAAAATTACAGTTATTAATCAATTAGATATATATTAAATAAACTTATCATTTTTTTTTCGCTCGTTCTATCTTGCTTTTATACAAAAGAACATTATCCTTGAATAGCTAAGAAAACCTTTATCCTCTTGACGAGATTTTTATTCCATAAGTAAATAAAATAATGATAGCTATTATTTTCATTATGAGAAAATAAATGCAAAAAAAAAAACTTGACATTCATCTGGATTTAGATGAAAAAAAAAAAGATGATTCTCGTAATAACCATTTTTTATCACGTAAAACACGTCAAATTGTCAAGTAGTATATACAAATACAAATTAATTATAAAGCAACGAGCGTGAGTAACAACATGATAAAAATTTGAGATAACTATCAATTATGTTGACATAAGTAACAACCATCAAAAAAAAAAAAAGAATGCTTCTCTTTTTCTATGCTCAGTTGTATTTGTCAGGAACGAACTCAATTATATCTTTTCTTTTTTCCTATGTAAGACAAGTCTTGTAAATCTTTAATATACAAAACAATATTTGTTCCATAGCATCCGGCTTAACATGTAGTCACCTTTTTACTTATTTCACTTTAAATATTAAACATGGTTTGGATATTTTTCACTTGTTTTTTTTTTATTCTCAAAAATTGTCTTAGTATTCATATACAGGATGTATTGTAACCGAAGTTATATGTTATGAAAAAAAAAAAAAAAAAATAGATACTAATTGTTGGTGAGAACATTATATTTTAAATAGAATAAGAGAATCTAACAAGTAAAAGCAATATTCTTGTTTAATACTTGATTTACTTAAGGTTGAAATATTTTTTTAATATTGTTTTCATTAATGAGAAAAAAAAAGAAACCTAATGAGATTTTATTATATTTTTTAATTCATGCAAAAAAGATGAAAAACGTTGTATATGCTTTGTTTCTATTTATTAATTTCTTTTGGATAAATTTTTATAAATCTCTTCTTTTTTCTTTTTCAATACTAAATATAGTCAAATACTACTCACAGATATATAGTCATTAGTTCTGTTTCCGTTCATTAGTTTTCTCGAAAACTTTATATTTATCATCATAGAGACTTGAGCGTGTCTTTCAATACAACATCACATTAATATAATTTGAATAATTATTTGTCTAGAATAATATCATCGTATCTAGGGACCTTAGAAACTTGAAATAATAAGCATTGTGTTTTATATTGTCTTTGAAATATATCTAGAGTGTAAGAAAACAATTCTCTATATTTATACTTCTATACAAATATAATATTCAGATGCAGTCTTATTCTTTACATGATGAATTTATTGCGTTTTTTTACAAAAGTAGAATATCTAGAGATCAATTATGAAACAGTACAGATGTTAACAAAAAAAAATAGTTTGTTTTCATAAGTAGATAAATATTACAAACTGATTATAGAATGATAAAAAACATATGTCATAATTATTTGTTTTTAGTTTTTATTGAATTAACAATAAGACAAATTCTATTGAAATGAAACAAAAGTTTTTGTCTAATCTATTACTATATTTAATAATAAAGTTTTTTTTTTCAATGAATAAATAAAAATTTTATTTATTACTGCGAAACATGTAAAGTATTAGAAAGAAGGAGTTTTTTGTTTTTTCTTCTTGTTATTATCTTAATGACTACAAATAAGACATTCAAAAAAAAAAGAAAAGGAAGTAATTCTAGTACATAAGTTAAAAATTCTATTATTCATCAACAACCCAAGGTAATGAGATATGAAAGTATCATAATTGATTAAATCTCAATGAAATTTCTTTGTGTTCTTCTCTTTTTTGCTTGAGAAGATTACTTCATCTTTCTTAGACCTTTGTACCGTTTCATATATTTTTCTCTATTTTCTTTTCTTTTTCTTTTTGTGAGATTCCATCAGCGACGATTTTTTTCTCTGTAAAATAGAGAGGAATGAGCGAGATGAATTTAGTGAAAGTTTTAACATCCTTCCTTTTTCTACTCATCTATTTAAAGTAAAGTGCCTTTTTTCTTTTGTTATTCTGACAAGAAAATATATAAGATCGTAATCGCTTGTTTTTTTCTTGCTTAATGACAGAAGAGTTTTTATAAAGTTTGTAAATTATTTACTAATATATGATGATAGGTAAGAAATTTTTCTTTTTCAATGTCAATAAACTCATGCTTGAATATAGATATTTTTTTTCTACAACGAATAGGATTGATGTGAAGTGATAAACAAATTGTAATATATCAAAATTCAAATATTGATTATATAGTTTTGTATAATTTTAATATGTATAAGTTTTATTAAATTAGATGAAATATATTTGTTGTACAGTTTTAAATTTCAATTCTATTTTCAAATACTAACAAAGATTCTTTTGTTTTGTTTTATTTCAAAATCTAAATAGATTCAATATAAAATATTAATAGTTCGATTGATAATATAGTTAGTTGTTAAATAAAATTGTTATCAAAGATTTTATTATCAATGTTTAAAAATAGACTGTTGAATGAATTTAATTTTCTAGAGATAAAAATTATATAACACAATCTATACTTAAGTTTTTTACTCTTCAATTAACCAAAATTCATTTCTGTAGGTAGATTCATACGCATGAAAAAAAGGCTAGATTGCTTTAATTAATGCTATAGAATTTCTTGTCACTAGAAGTTTTTGAAGATTTCTTTTTGTATTTACACTATAGGAAGAAAATATTCTTGCAATATATAAGTAGTAGCAGCAACAGTTTATCTATTTTAAAACATTAAATAGTTTAATATGTACATATGATTATATAAATCAAACTTGATCATTATCACTGCATTCTGAGTTAAACTTTTCATAGAATAAAATTCGAATTCTTATTGAAATTTTTATTAGAAAGTTCAAAAATGCAAAACTATTGCGAGCATTACTGTTATTCTAGTCTTAGTAAAAGTTTCATTGTCATTTATTTTCTCAAAAACGAGATTTATTATGAAGGAATAAGTATCTTGCGACATAGAATGCTACCCAACGATAGGATTCATTAGCCCGATAACTAATACTAACTATAGTTCTGAACAGAAGGCTAGCTTAATGCAGAATTCTTGTACGTCTCATCACAAGAATAGACCAATGTCATAATATAGTTAGCATACTATCGAACTGATGACTTGAGATAAACGCGTCGATATTGAAACTTCTCTGAACGTAGTTATCGGACCATAGCGGCCTCTTTTCTCTATGATTTGATTGGTTTTCTCATTTTCACATATAAAAGACAATGAATAATTACTAATTGTACCTAATTTTAATATAAATAATAATATGTTTTTTTTTTCACTAAAAATTATCAATTATTTATTCTTAAGTATCGTATATAAAAAAAAAGTTTATTAATTTATTCTTCAAGCGTCCTCTTGCGTTATCTAAAACTGCTCTATTTAATATTCATTGGTTATAAGCAATAAACCAATAAAGAAAACGTCCTTGGTGACCTTGAAAGAGAACCAGTAAAAGATTTGATAACACAAAAAAAAACAAAGAAGAAAATACAATCAACATTTTTGTAATTATGTTGACAAGTTTATCAATTGATCATACATTATTAAAACCAGATGCAACATTAAAACAAATTGATCAATTATGTACCGAAGCAATTGAATGTAAATTTGCTACAGTGTGTATTCAACCATGTCATGTTAAATATGTTGTTGATAAATATTCAGTACGTGTTTGTACTGTTATTGGTTTTCCACTTGGTACAACAACAACTGAAACAAAATTATTTGAATGTCAACAAGCATTAAATGATGGTGCACAAGATATTGATATGGTTATTAATATTGGTAAAGTTAAAGATGAAAATTTTGAATATGTACAAAATGAAATCGAACAATTAGCAAAATTAGTACATTCATCTGGTGAAAATAATATTCTTAAAGTTATTATTGAAACATGTTTATTAAATGATAATGAAAAACAAAAATTATGTCAAATTGTTGGTAATGCTGGAGCAGATTTTATAAAAACTTCAACAGGTTTTTCAACAGGTGGTGCAACATTAAATGATATTAAATTATTACGACAATATTCACCAAAAAATGTACAAGTTAAAGCATCGGGTGGTATACGTGATAGTAATTTTGCAAAAGAATTAATTCAAGCTGGTGCTACACGTCTTGGCACATCATCTGGTGTCGCCTTGATGAAAGATATTCCATCTACATCTAATTATTAGTTCTTGAAAACAAAGAACATCTTTTCTTTTTTTTTTTTTCGAAAAATTTTTGCAATCAAAACGGGATTAGTTTCTTCTTTTAGAATGATTTTTTTTTGCTTCTTCTTTTTAGATTATATTTGTCTTCCCAATTTGTTAATGAAATAAATCATGTCCGAATCAAGTTGTATATTAATTTTTAAAATTTAATTAAAAAATTTAAATTATTATCTATTGTATTTTTTTTTTGCAGACTTTAGTTACGGTGATAATGGAACATTTTCCCCCCCTATGGATGTAACAAATCAAATTCAAAATGGAATTATACAACATACCAGTGGCAATTCAAATTATTCAAGTGGATCAGGTGGTGATTCACCAACGTCATTAAGCCCGGGTAAGAAGAAAAAAATAAACTTATATATATATATTATTATATAATTAATTTTAAGTTCCAATGTCATCTGGTGGACAATTTATGGGTATTGGTGGTAATTCAAATTCATCAACAAGTTCAACACCAACAGCAACAACAAGTGGTGGAATGGGTTCAGCAGCAGCAGCAGCTGCTGCTGCTGCTGCATCTCGATATGCTTGTGTTATATGTGGTGATAAAGCATCGGGTAAACATTATGGTGTTCATAGGTTAGTAGTATTTTTATATTTAATTTATTAATTAATTTAATATATTTCTTTTTTTAAGTTGTGAAGGTTGTAAAGGATTCTTTAAACGTACTGTACGCAAAGATTTAACATATACATGTCGAGATAATCGAGACTGTATTATTGATAAACGACAACGTAATCGTTGTCAATATTGTCGTTATCAAAAATGTCTTAATGTTGGTATGAAAAAAGAAGGTAATTATAAAAAAAATTATTATTTTTTTTATTTTTAATTAACGTCCTATTTGTTTTTCCTTCTTATATGCATTACAGCTGTTCAAGAAGAACGACAAAAATCAGGTATGAATGGTGAAGGTGAATCACCATCATCACCTGGTACAAGTATAGGTAGTGGTAGTACAAGTACACATATGGGTATTGGTTCATCAGGTTCCAATAGTGATGATGATATGTTAATTGAAAAATTAATTGCAGCTGAATTATCTGTTGAACCAAAAATAGAAACATTTCATGAAGAAGAATGTTCATATGATCGTTTATTATCAACAACCAATTCTCAACTTGCACAATTAACTGATTGGGCTAAACGTGTACCACATTTTTCAACATTATCACTTGATGATCAAGTTGCACTTGTACGTGCATCATGGAAAGATATACTTTGTTGTTCTCTTGCATATAGATCAATTATGGCACCAGATTGTGGTCTAATTTTATCTGTTAGTATTTTATTCTTCTTTTTTTTCTAAAGAGATTTTTTAGTATATATATATATATGAACAGATGTGTTATGAGATGGTTCAAAGAGTAGCCTTTATATTATCGAAAAAAAAAAGATAAGAAAAATATTGTGTATGCATAGAAATTATGTGATAATATCATATCTTTCTTTTTTGTTTTGAATACAAATTGACTGTTTAAACAATTCGTTGATAGAGCTGAATTATATTTACATATGATATTGAGTAGGAGAAAATATTTTTCTATTATTTTTTTTGATATAGGATGGTTCGTATGTTCGACCTCATACAGCTGTTGATCAATCTCTTCAATTTTTCATCACACGTCTCTATCATGATGTAGTAACAATAATGCGCGAATTAAATGTCGACAAGGTTGAGATAACATGTCTCAAGGCTATTTTTCTTTTCGATCCTGGTATGTGTATATCCGAAAAAAAAAATCAATCTTTATCTTTTGTTGTTTTTTAGATGCTAAAGATGTTGTTGATACATGTCGTGTATCAGAATTACGTGAAAAAGTTTGTATGTCATTAGCATCTTATTGTAAAAAGGTACATAGTGATGATGTAGCACGTTTTGCTAAATTACTTCTTCGTATGCCACCTATACGTGGTTGGTGTATAAAAGGTATTGAAAATTTATTTTTTGCTGGTGCAGCACGTTCAGCTGATTCAGAAATAATTCATATGATTCGTAATCGTCAACTTTAAATAAAAACAAAAAATAAACTTTTGAAGATTGTATACATACAATGTTTGCTTGTTCTTCTTTTCTCAATGTCTTCTAATCACAGTTGTGAAATATAGTCACCGATTATAATTGTCATTAGAGCTCAAAACTAAATAAAAGAAGACAATTCAATATCTTTCTTTTATTTATTATTATCTTGTTTTTCATCGCTATATATATATATATATCATATTGTATTGTCATAAGTATTCGTTAACCTCTTCGTTTATTCTTTGTTCAATTTGTGTTTCTGTGATACCCTATGAGTGTTGAATTCAAACAAGAAAAAAAAAATTTTTGTTTGTCAGCGTTACTTTTCATTTCTTTTGTTTTTTGCCGGTTCTTGCTCTATGGTTCTTATTAGTCTATTTCTACTTTTTTTTTTGGATGGTTCCTTATTGTATATCGTGTCATTGAACCCATTTGTACTTTCTTTTTTTTTTCTTTTGAAAAAAATACATATGTTTGTGCCTGTGTGTTTATATATATGTGCATATCAAAAGAAATATTTATTTGATATGATATATTGCAATATCAAACTTGAGTATATATATATATATTTAAAGACAGCAGCAGAATCTTACTTAGCATGTTCAAATGAAGTAGAAAAAACTATACTTATAGAAATATAGAAAATAATTGTTAAAAGAGCAATTCATCAGGAAAATTGAAAATTTTTAGTACTAGTAAAAACAAAATCTATTATAGACTCAAATTGAAAATTTTTTTCATACGCCAGACACTACTTCAAGGTGATAATCCTTTTATTTTTTTTGTTCTTCAAATAAAAAAGATAAAATATCCAGGATACCCTACAAAATGCATGTTATTTTTTTCTTGATTGAAGCCACCCAAAATCGGCAGAACAATATTTTTCGAAACAAAAAAAAAATACTTATGATAAAAAAGTTATAACCTCGATCGAATATACTAGGTCGGAAAAATACAGGCATGTCTACACTTTTTGTTTCATGAAAATGTTGGTTTGAGAAAAACGTGAAACAATGTACAGTTTTTACTAACTTGATTTCTTCTTGAATTTTTTTAATGTTTGAAGACAAGTTTTAGATTACACAATGGCTACAAAAAAAATTTGGGTCACAAAAGACAAAGCACGCTACCTTTAGATAAAGCAATAACAGACTTTGACTTAAAATAATATTGAATATGATTCGAACGAAGTTATTAATTGTATTTATGAATTATTATCATTCATAAGATAACAAAATATTTTGCTTGTATTTTACATTTTAATTTTAGAGTACTATTTTTGAAATTTTTTTTCTAACTTCATGTTTAAAATGTTGTTTCTGTAATTATAAGCCCTCGGTAGTAACTATTGTATCAAGATATAAAAAGTTATTCGATACATATTTTGATTTAAAAGTAATATCGAGTCAAGTTTAATAGTACTATAGTATTTATTGTATTTCGTTGTTCGTGATGCCTTGATTAAAACATACAAGCATATTTCTTATTATCATAAAGAATTGGAATGTAAAATATTTTTTTTTTTCTATGATAGAATTTGATGTTATTTTTAGTATTAGATATGCATCGATAGTAATAGCACAGTATCTAATGTGTTTTAAAAGATTCTTTTGATAATTTTATATGAGAATAAAACTTTACATAAGATTTTAACATTTGATTAAGACAAACTAAGATGTAGAAAATATCAAGTCTTGTCTGTGATATTTTACTTAATAAATGATAAATAATACGAACATTTATTGGTGTTAATAAAAAGTTTGTTATACTATGGGAAAGAAAAACCATATTGAAGTAATCTTTAGTGTGGCATATAAGAACTATTCATAAAATAACCTAACAGGTTCATGCTCTTTCGCATATCATTGATCATTCTGTTTTTTTTTTAATTAAAGGTCTAATTCAATTACCTTGACATATGTCGGTTTTATAATCTTTTGATGTAATATGTATTATAAATTTTTATTGAAAAAAAGTCTTCGATCATGTTATTAATATGCCATAGAATAATAACCTGATAAAATTCTAATCTTAGTTTGTGTATTTCACGTTCATTTGACATATATATAATTGAACTCCAACAAAATCAATCATCTTTTATCTAGTTGAATATGAATAATATAAGATCAAGAATTTTTTTACACACCTGATTCTCTATGTACAATATGATCAGAAAGTATATCCAACTGAATAAATAATTCACTACATCTTATTGAACAATTTCGACTTTGACTACTCTCAAATGATATATACATGATTGATTATGATACTATTTTCGACAAATGAAACTTATTTCAAAGCATAATTATATATCGGGTGTCCAGAAAGTAACTGAACAAAGAAAAGTTTGAACACATATTTCCGCCATATTTTGACCAAATTGGTTGATATTTTTATCACTGATAAAGGAGTATGCATATCTCATATTTACAGGCGAAACGTTGGCAAAAATTGTTTTAAAGTAGCATAACTAACTGTAACAAAAATCTGTAACATTTTCCGAGTTATGAAGAAAACAATATATTTATTTCGTTTAACCAAGAATGAACGACATCTAATTTTTTCAATTACTTCTTTGCACTAGGTGTCATTTGGTCTTATACTTATACTACAGATACATGTCTTGTTAGTCAGTGTACTCTGAAAGTTGTAGCGATTGACAAAACTGCAATATTAGTTTTTCGTAACTCGTGAAAACTTTCAGTTTTTATTGAAGTTAGTTGTACTACTTCAAAACAATTTATGATAATGTTTCTCTTATGAATATGAGCTATGCATACTTCTTTATCAGTGGTAAAATTCTTAACTTATTTGGTCAAAATATGGCGAAGTTATGTATTCAAACTTTTCTTTGTTCAGTTACTTTCTGGACACCCGATATAAGCCTTGGTGAAGTACTACACTTGAATTCATATTTTTCAATTTGTAAATGAACTGAATTCTACTTAAAATCATTTTTAATTATCAAATAATGATAGTAATAATAGCTGAACATAAAGATAAGCACGGGCAATAAAACAAATCATTATACGTCTATCAATGAGTTTAAGTGTGGGGGGAATTAATATTAGTATTATGAATGTCAGAAGATTGATATAGTACCATTCGTTTTGAATAATGTCACATTAAGGAATATACATATGATATTGTTAATTTAAATTGAATGTTATTTTACTGAAGAAAATAACATATATATTCTCAATGAATTTTACTATATTCAAAAAACAAAAATATATATAAATTAACTTTCCTTTTTAAAAATATTTGATAATGATTGAATATTATTTTTATTTAGAATAGAATTTATAAAAATTAATAAATATATTAAAATACGTGAAAGGTTCAAAAAGTTTCGAGAGTGGTTTTTTTATGTTAAAAAAATGAATTCAAATTCTAAAGTTATGTTTTCTTTTTCAAAGTATCGTTCCTCTACTGTAGTATACTTTTTCAACGCATTGAAAAGTTTTGTATAGCTGTTGTGAATTTATTTTCAGATAGATCGTTCAGACATTGATGTAATAATAAACTTCATGAACTTTGATTATTGTTGTGTCTTTCTTTGAGTTGATCCTTTAAAACGGAAAACAGGAAACTATCATTGAATGTTAGATCTGGAGATTAATGTAGATGATGAAACAATTCATTTTGTAAATTATGAGTAATTAAAGAAACGAGATGCAATGTATGTGATGAAGTGTTGTTATCTTGCAAAATGATATCAGCTGACATTAAACTTCGTTATTATTTTCTCGTTTCTGGATGAAGTTTCTTTTTGAAAAAAGATGTGCGTAATATACTTTAGTAGTTGTCACATCCAGTGACACTAGCTGTTGAAGAATTATCTCTTTATGATTTCAGCAAAAAAATTTTTTGTCAGCAGACTTTTCTGTCTAGTGAATTAGTTTATTTGTTACTGTCGTAATTATATTTTGACTGAGACTCGTCAACAGTTATAATTCGAAAAAGAAAGTAATTTTCTGTTGTAAAATAATGAGCTAAAAAATTCTTTACATGCTTAAAGATGTTCGTCTCATAAATCAAATGTTCATACATATGACATCCATCTTGAGTAGACTTTAATTATTTGTAATTAATCATGCAAAAAATCATGTACGGTACTTTATGGAATCTTTAGTGTTCGATATTTGCGAAATTGTCATTCGATAATCTTCGATTAATAGATTTTCACCTGCTTTAACAGGTGTATGACTGATCTTTCAAAAAAAAAACTGTACCAATAAATGTTGTTCAAGTCTTTGATTTATCATCAGTCTATTTAAAAATATCTAAACAAAACCGTTGTTATTTTAGTACATAAAATGACTCTTGTAGTTCTACTATTTTATTCTTAGATCTTTGTCGGACAACTTTGTTTGAAAACTATTTGAAATAATATGCATCAAGATTATGTATAATTGGTATTCCTAAAATACATCTACGTTATAAATCATTTTGTTGAATTTTAACAAAAAAAAAAAACGAATGATAGAATATCTAATACGATTGAAACAATGTTATAATGTATACAATAAAGAATCTGCTATGGTAAAGGCCAATAGTTTTTATTTGCTTGTTCTATATAATCAATTAAAGCAATTACACATTCAGTAGCTCGATATTCGGGTAAAGCATAATCTTTCATAAGCCATAAGCGAAATTGTTCATGATCAAATTGAAATATATGAATAAATTCACGCAATAAATCTTTAGCTTTAATTATTTGTTTAGTTTCTTTTAGTTTATTTAAAGTACTTTTTCCAATACCGGGTAATTTATGTAACATCTTATCACCTAATGGTTCAGATAAAAGTATAGCAAATTTACGCGAACGTAGATCACATGGATCAATATTTAATGAATAAATTGACATAAACAAAATGATAAATAATTTTAGAAATCAAGCATTAAATTAGTGCGCGTTTCTTAACTGTTTTTGAATTATAAAATAGTTCGAAAGATGTTATTAGAATCTCTCATCTGTATTTTGTTA